ATTTTATTTAGCCATGTATTTACTTTTTCAAGCCATTTATATATTTCTACATTTATTTCCCATTATGATAGGTTTGGTCCTCCATACCCCAGAAAACCCCCCACTACTCCCACATTTGATTCGTTCTCACTGGATGAATCTGCCTTTCAATGTTTTATTTTTCTTTATTGTGTCACAGCAGGAAAAGGCTTTGAAAGCATCAGGAAAGTCAGTAACAACGTTCCAACGATTCTGCTTATTTCTTTCATTCAAAACTGACAGAATAAAATGGTTGAATTAGTGTCTTAGCTGCCAAAACTTTGACGCAGCTAAAGATGGACATGCCATGTTTATTCTGCCTCAACAGTCTGTATGTAAAACAAATCATTGGTTACAACAGAATAAGAGAGAGATGATCATGATAATTTCCTGCAGCTGAGAAACAAAAACTTGCAATGGTGGTTTTGTCTGTGTCTGCTTTTGTGTATCTGTCTGTTAGTAAAATATTTCATTAACCACTGGATGGATTGAATGAAACTCTCTGAAAGTAATCACCACACCTACTTTTGGAGCTAACCCAACACAATGGCCGCCACAGCTAACCAACACAAATGCGAGTATAATCCAGTCTGTTTTAAAGATACTGAACTAAAGTTTGGTGTGCTTTTAGCTGAGAGTAATCTCGAACAAACCATCCAAGTTCTAACTGATCACACAAGATATTTCTTTTAAGCACTGCTACATATTGGAGTTATCTCTGATTTTTAGCAAAAACTCTCATAAACTACTGGATAGACTTTAATGAAACAGAAAGAAATCACTAGATACTCAAGGACAACTGATTCACTTTTGGAGCCAACTCAGTTCAACATGGCTGCCACAGCCAACTGGCCAATTTTAAAACCAGCGCTTCTCTGTTACAAAATTCTGTACTCACTTTAAACTGAGCTTCAACTCGAGCTGAACTGAAGCCAAACATTGACATGAAAACCCCACAGACCTCTTATTGGTCAGTGATTGATTTGTCCTCACCATTCTCTGTAAACAGAAAATGTTTCTGTGCTAGCGCTGAAGCTGTGCTCACTGACTCACTTACAGGAAAATCGGATCTGCATCACGGCGAAATTACAAATCTGGGAGCACATTATGAACAGACAGTTCAAAAGTACAAGTAGGGGCTGTTTTTCTTGTTGGCCTTCGCGGAGCTTTGTAAACACAGCTGTCATTCTCACTCTGAAAATAGCAAGTCTCAGACTTTTAAAAATAATATAAAACACCCCCACTAAAACAGCACATCTGGTAATTATAGACACACAAGAAAGTTCTGTGTATGTTTGCAGCTTGACGTGGTGCTGAGATAACAGGCAGATGACTCTGCCCACGCTGAGGAATACTGTCAGAAGTGAAGGAAATAGTTGAATAGTGGTGAGCCGTGCTATGTGAAACTGATAGTGGAGGGAAAATAACAGTGACATGGGTACCGAGCAGATAAATAGGACACAACAGATCAGTTTCAGCAATCTGCACGGCAGCTGGCAGCTCACTGTCAGGAGCTCCGATGAGCCAAGTAAATTAATAACTACTTTCTCAGAACATTGTGCTTAGAAACACATAGTCAACCACAGAATGTAAGAAAGTCAAATAACGTCACATGCTGCTGTTATACTCTGCAGGGTTGTCACTGTTAACATCACTGAACTTATACTAAACAAGATTCTTGTAAAGATAAAAATGATTAAAATCTTGCTTTGGACACAAGATGATTCACCCTAAGATCCTGAAGGCTCTGGCTGTTGTGGGGGTGTTAGGGTTGACATGTCTCTTCCATATCATGTGGAGGACTGCGAACAATGGTCTCTATAAGACTTTTTTGGGAAAGTTCAGAGTGTTTGAAAAAAGTCTTAGACCAGTTGTTGAACCTTAGAGTCAGGAAGAGCAGTGTGGTTTTTGTCCTGGTTGGAACACGGACCAGATTTTAATCCTTGCATGGTGGCAAGAGGGAGTTTCTCCAGTCTTCATGTGTTTTCTAGCTTTGGAGAAGGGTTAAGGCCATAAACAAAATGAGAGCTGCATCTGCATCTTCAACACAAAGCTAATCTTCAGGGCTTAAAGTTCTCCATCGCCACAATGGATTTCCGTCACTTTGAATGTGGCCAGGACGGAATTCTGTCATCTGTAAGGGAGAGAAAAAAAACCAACTCCGGTTGTTTTCTGTTGCGGTGTTGTTAAAGCCGCCCAGTCTACCCCTAAATGCGCCACTACTTTCAGCAAATGAAACTCTCTGTGCATTGTTGCCCAAATCAAATTCTGGAAGTGGTCATTCAACTAGATCTGTTACAAAAGGACAACTGARATTACCAACTTTTAAAAACTGTTACAGCCAGGGGTCTTTCTTCTATGTTTATACTAAAGCATGGAATGACATTCCTCAAAACATAAAGTCCATTTCAAAACTACAGCCCTTTAAGAAGAATCTTGTCTGCCATCTGCTGGACACTTTTTGTTGTGCTCATATTTAGACGTCCTATTTTGCAAATGCTGCCTTCCTGAAATTTGGTATGCTTGTTTGTCTTCGTGTCTATGGTGTATGATGATGTGATTGTGATGCTGTAATTCTGTGTTTTATGTGCTGCAGAACAGGAACCTGCTGTAAAACAGCAATTATGCTGAGTCAGGCTTGATCTTTAGTAATCTTTTCCTGTTAAATCAATAAATCAAATCAAAATCAAATCAAATGAAACAAGCGCCAGAGCACATTTATCCAATCAGAGCAGAGTGGAGCGGAGCGGGGCAGGTCAGTAAAACCAGCAGGTGAAGCAGTCTGCAGGAGCAGCCGCAGCGGTCAGTCCTGAGTGAGTGAAACCTCTCCTCACTCATTTCGCTCCTTGGACTTTGGTGTATAAAACTTAACTTTATATTAAATATTTGTGCTCAGAGCGCCATTATCCAACAGATATGTCCAACTTCGTGTGCGTGACCAAGCTCCTCGTGCGAAGGCTGCGCGCGACGCCTAACATTCGGTTTGTTCGTCCGTCATGCTTTTACTCTCTTATCCTACAACATTTCACAAGTTATAAAGTGTTCTGCCACACGAGGCCGGCTCTACGCTGGGGCAAGAGGGGGCAGTGCCCCCTCAGACGAATGCCCTGCCCCCTTAAATCAAATCCGCCAATAAATCGACAAGTTGTCTCTCATCTCTGCCTCCTCCGCTCCGTGCTGTGTGCAGAGCAGTCTGTCTGCAGGCAGCAGAGACCCACCTCCTCAGGAAACAACCAGTTCAGAGTATAATAAGTATTAAAGGTTGTTATTGGCTTTAGATGAAGATAAATCAGAGTGAATAATGCAGTTTTTTCTAAAATAATGAACCCACAAACATTCATAGATATGCATTAAAATGACTACATTATTAAATGATAGTTAATAGTTACACACATACACAATACTCTCTCTATTTCACTTTTACTGAGAACAGATTTGTTGCATTATTTTTTAATTGCTGTACTTTTGAGACCAGTGTGAATTCTTTTTATTAAACTGTGTTGCCAATTGAAATTGAACAATGTTTCATTTATTAAAGCTCTTATGTCGCAGCACTTTGATACAGTAAAGGTGACATTTAGGTTAAATTCAAAAGCTTGTTCAGGTGGATAACGGGGTTGTGTTGGCATCTTCAGCATGCTAATTGTGTGAATCGTAAAGAAAAAAACGAGGGAATGTTCATCCTATTGGTAAAAAGTGTAGCTTTATTCTTTCGTGCTTTTTATCAGTTGAGCCTTTTTTAAGTTAGTGACTCTACATGAGCCATTTAGATCAAGCAAACAAGGTATGACATGGTAATTTGTGGGTTTTACAGCTCCTGGCATGTAGATTTACTGCCGCAGGAAAAAAACAAACAAATTTCCACTCTGTTTACAGTTTATATACAAAGCTGAACTGCTGTTGCTGTCTGCAGCCTTGAATTTATCWGACAGCTGTAAAATTATTTTCAGTCTTTTCTAACATTCAACACAAAGACATTACTTTTTCCAAAGGGACAATTCTTCATGATGCTTGGTGGTTTTTTCCTCCTGCTACTCATTTTCATCTTTTACCCCAACCTTTCTTTCTGCCCTGAGTTGTTGAGGGAACATTTTATTCTTTTTGATGTACATCCCTGCATCACTACGCTGCTGAAAAGACATCACAAACTAAAGTCTCAGCCTTTAATGTTCTGCCTGTGTTTGGCTGGCGCTGGCCTACCCTGTTAGTTTACTGACAGGCTTGTGTCTCTGCGTTTCCTCTGCAGTTGGGAGGATGTGGCGTGCTGGGCGTTGGGGTCTGGCTCTCGGTGACCCAGGGAAACTTTGCCACGCTGTCGTCGTCCCTTCCCTCTCTGTCGGCAGCCAATCTTCTCATCGCAGTGGGGACGATCATCATGGTGATCGGCTGTCTGGGCTGTGTGGGAGCTGTCAAAGAAAGCCGTCCTCTGCTGCTGACGGTAAGTCGTCTGCCAGGCTGGCGTCTGATAAATGCTGACGTCGGACATAAGGTTGCATTCGTTTTGACATTCTCAGATTATAGTTTGTTGATGTTGTCATGACAAACAATATTGCTAACATCTCAACAAGTTGCAAGCATTGACATTCTCATTCAACATGACTGTTTGCCAAGAGGCATTTCTCACTGATTTCAAAGATGTCACTTTACTAAACCATGTTTTCATTTAGTGATGTGATCAGGAGCTGTCTGAGTGAGCTTCAATGAGAGCTGTCTTTATTATCAATGATAAAAAAAGACTAGTTCAAAGCAGAATTGCTTGTTGTAGTTTTTAGTTATGTATGACGGAGTATTAGGGCCACACAACAAGATTTTTTTATTATTATTATTGCCATTAAAGTCGTAATATTATGAGAATAAAGTCATAATTTTATGAGAATAAAGTCATAATATTACGAGATTAAAGTCGAAAGATTGAAGTCATAATTTTACGAGAATAAAGTAATAATTTTACGAGATTAAAGTCGTAATATTACGAGGGAAAAAAGTCATAATCATGACGTGTCTTTTTCCCGTTCCTCATTTCCTCCTTATTTTCCTCACACCTGCTGTGTACATCCATGTGTCTGGGTTTACAAAGTAGTCCATGGTGACTCGGGTCACTGTTAGATTAATATGCTTTTATCCAAAATTAGCTTCGTGACAACTAAATCCGTCAATGCATCCATTAATTACAATACAGCTTCAGTTTATCATATAGTCGTTTGCACAGTTTCTAAGTCCTGCTACTGATAATTTGATGCTAATGTGCTAAAGGATTAGCTATTTATTTTAAGTAATACTAAAGAACAACTTGACAAGTTGTTCAACATTCCTCATTTTAATGCAGTGGTAACTGCATGCTTTTTCGTGTAAAGACAATATTATGACTTTTTTTTCATAGTATTATGACTTCAAAGTCGTAATATTATCACTTTAAACTCGTAAATTATGACTTTAATCTCATAATATTACAATTTTAATCTCATAATATTACAATTTTAATCTTGTAATATTATGACTTTATTCTGATATTATGACTTTATTTTTATACAACTTTAATGTCATAATATTATGACTTTATTCTCGTAATTTAAAAAAAATCGTTGTGTGGCTCAAATACTCCATCGTAGATATGAGCATATCTACTTTAACATGTTTGCAAAACAAACCTTTTGCAGCTGTTATTCACATGTAAGCAAAAGGGAGAAATAAATAGATTTAATATTTGTAAATGATGAACGTCAAGTTAAAATGCAGGTTGCGATTATTTTGAGGCAATCACTCCTCAGAATCTTCTTTAGTTATTAACCATCAACATGAGTGAAGATAAAGTAGCTTCATAGCATTTGTTCTTCAAAACTGAAGCCAATATATCTGGTTTACCTGAGCTGCCATGTTGTATTTTAAATACATGTCAACCCCTTCGGATGTTTACCTGTATCATGAGCCTCAAAACTCCATATTAATCACACACAGGGGGTATTAGCCACAGAGGGGAGGGGGCAGGGTGCAGGAGGACTGTCAGCTGCAGCAGTGTCAGAAGGAAATGAGGACAAAAGAACTTATTTCTAGCAGCAGTGGTTGGAAGTGGATATTTTTTACGTTTTTTAATGTCCTACAGGCTCTTACATGTTAAATAAATTTAAATTTGTGTTTTTGAAAAAATCTGTAAAACATGGAAAAAATCTGAAATTGGTCTTTACATCCATGTCCCTGCAAAATGACAGAAAATCTGTGTAAATCACTGACAATCCATAAAATTTGACATGATTTTTGGACCTAGACTCTGTGCATTAGCAACATGGGGCCATCCCAGATAGCAAAAGATGTTAATTCAATGTTGAATTATGGTAAAAAAAAATGCTTTTTGGTTAAGGTCGATGATTGATAATGAATCAACCATCAAACAATCATCCAATTCAGCCAAATAAACAATATTGAAAAGACGTTATTAAACCAATGTTGCTTTATGGTTGAATTCTAATAATTGCCAACAACTAATCAATGTTGAATTGACATGGATGTAGTATCATTTATGATGGAAAACTTGTTTCAACATGTAAATCAACCACTTTTTGTATAATTTCAACATGGATTTAATATCATGCCTGACCATATTTCACTGTTGATTCACTCAAAATTTGCTATCTGGGATACCATCGACATGAATCTGACAGCAATGAGGTTATCATCTAAAGAGGTTGGCTGCCAATGTAAACAGTTTATCATGGCTGGATTTCTGTGTAGAACTGCACATAAATATTAGTTTTTTATTGGATAGCTTCTGCCTTTTAGAAACATCATTCATTACAGACGTGTACCTTACCTGAAATGATAATATGCACTGACAAACTATCAAATCAAAATTATGACAGTCAGTATTGAACTTAGTTTCATTCATGTGCAGAGTTAATTTTAACATGTCATGGTTACCTCATTCAGTTTTACCAGCTTGTCCTCACCCTGAACAATATGGCCGCTCTCTCCATCCAAGAAAAGTGATAGCGCCTCTAGTCAATACACCTCATTGGATGTTGGATGAGACCAAAAAGGTGCGGCTGTACTCTTGATACTAAAGTCTTACCTCCACACCATAACTCACTATCACACTGCCACTGTATGCTTTCAGAAATAATCCTTTTAATTCTAATCCTTTTAATTTCCCCTGAAATTGACCTTTTTCCTCTGCCAGCTGCCACAGCACTAGAAAATCCCTTTGTAAAATTTTTGGCATCATTATGAAGCTTGGTGATTCCCCTTTCTAGCTGGAATTCCCAATGACATCATCCTAAAAAAATCAATAAAAACTAGAGAAATTTGCATTTCCTACGAAAATGCAAGTGTGAATGCCATTTGCGCAGAACTATAGCTGAAATAGCAGAAGAATAGCATAAAGTAGCAGAACTGTAGCTGAAATAGCATAAGAATAGCATAAAGTAGCGGAACTATAGCTGAAATAGAAGAAGAATAGCATAAAGTAGCAGAACTGTAGCTGAAATAGCATAAGAATAGCATAAAGTAGCGGAACTATAGCTGAAATAGCAGAAGAATAGCAGAAAGTAGCAGAACTATAGCTGAAATAGCAGAAGAATAGCAGA